TTTCTGGTAATTTTTTCGAGGAAAAATAAGCGTTTGAAGATTTTACTTCGTAATTTTTAATATAGATATTTTGAGTTTTTATGTATTTTTGCCTTCTCGCGAACTGAGAACTGAATTAATTAAATGAGAAATACTCAATCGTCTGTGAAAAACTGTTTCTTTTTTGTTTTGTTTTGCTTAATTTCTTTTATACACAGTTTCTAGCTTTATTATAGTATTTGAATAGAACATGTGGCAACGATTAGATAATTCTTTAAATGATATACATTTTGTGCATTCTGAGTTATAATATGAATGAAATATAATACTGTTAAGTAAACTAGTGCCAGAGTGTCACTATGGTAAACAAAGTGAATTTTAAAGAATGCATTTTATTCTATTGTGTTTTATGCGCTGTCGGCGAAGTAGGTTTAATTCAATCTAATAAGTTTAAATAAAATGCAAGAAAAATGCGTTTAATTTAATATTCCGTATAAGTATGTTTTTTTTATTTTAGGTGCTGTGAAAGGCAATGACAGAGATCCAATTTATCAAGAGTTCTTATATACATAAGAATACATGGATATAAGATTGTTTTTCATGAATTCAAATAAAATGTGATAAATTGGATTAATAAAAAACTATTTTGAATTTTGAAAAGTGTTTTTCCTCTGTTAATCATAATATAGTGCCATAAATTTCTGAATGTGTTTATTTTTCATCCAAATAAATAGCTTTACAAAAATTTGTCATATTAATAGATATTGCATAATTTAGCATTATTATAAATATTTATTATAGCAGATTTAGCTGAACTACTTTTTTAGTCTCTTTGCAGATGAAGTCACAAAGGTAAGTGGTTAGATATTTTTCTGTATTCCCCATTAAGTAATTTTATCTGGTAAATTACCATTACTTATATACTAAAGGTGAAAGAATAAGCTTTCCTTGAAGATACAAAAATTTTTAGACATATTTCAAAAAATTGGTATACGTAAAAAAAAAAAAAAAAAGTTCTTAAATTGCCACATATGCGAAACTGAAAATGTTATATATGAAATAGTTCAGAAATATAAATATTTTCACTATTTTTTAACTATAATTCACTGCATTTGTTATATATAATCACAGTTTAAGGTAGCAGTGCTTTTCTCACTGTGATTTCTCATGTATTTTGATTCATAAATACACGTACATAAATCCACGTATTTTGATTTCTCTTTTGAGACCGAATAAAAAATGAACTAAACATTCTCGTTGACATTGAGAGTTGAATAAAAGCTCACCTCAAAATAAAATGAATTAATAAATTTATGGAAAATTTTACATTCATATATTGAGCAGAAAGAGTAAACTGAATATACTTAATGGAATTAATAATTGGTAGAGTTGATAGCAGAATAAAATGCCTTAATTGCATGGTAAACAGTAGATCTTTTGAAGTTTTTCTATGTTGCGTAAAATGCAGATTTAAATTTTTGATATTGATTGTCATATAAATGGCAATTACTGTTTTATTTTGCTCTGAAATGAATGGTTAGTAATAAAATTCTGGATGAGACAACCTTTAACATGCGCTAGAATTTACAAAGTTTAATTTGGTGCTGATTTCAACGGGTAAATTTCATTTTACTGAATTTTGCGTAAAATAATACCAATGAACCATTGCAAATTATTTTCAGAACTTTTTTTTTTTAATCTAAAAGGGCTATTAGTTTTGAAATGTGACTTCATATCGTCAGTCGTAAACTTGTTTCGCTTTTCATTCAAGTCTTGCCATTTGGCAAAATTTAACATATTTACCTTTAAAATCTAATATATTATTGACTAACAAGCCAAGCTATTTAAAAGCATTACACACAGTTCTTAACAATGCTTTTTTTAATTTTTAATCTGATTGATTTAAAATGCATTTAATTCATGATATATCTAATTGAAAACATTTTAATATTTCTACATAATTACATGATATATTTCTTCATTTTTCAAATATATAGAAGATATATATAACTTTCTGGTGTCAGTATCTTATAAAATGTTTTGCTATTTCTACTGCCCCATCTGTATTGATAATCTATGCATTCATAAACTTTTAGCCCTTTTGAGTGACTGCTAAAATCTGAGGCCTTTCTTTTTTTTAAAGATAGAATTTTAGAAGAGCTTCTTGAGTTACCTTTTGAATGATATAAAGAATTGTTAACATAATGTCAAATTTTTACAACTAAATATTAAATATATAAAAAAGCCTGCAGCATTCTCATGTTACGAAAACATATTTTATTTATTCTGAGGCTAGGAATTGATTTAGTTTTAAAAATACAATTTATTCCTTTTAACAATTTCCCAACAGTGTCATCAAAACACTAATAAATTCCTTACATGTTTTAAAGAAAGATGATTCATTTATGTAAAGATTATTAAATGGGTAATTTTATTATTCAATTTTTAATACAAAAACTGAAATTAGAAACTGATTTTGTAAAATAATTTAATTATGAATAATTCAATTTGGGGGCTATTGGATGTTTAAAAATGATCAAAAGATTTTTAATATCTTAAAAATAAAAGCAAAATTTTCAGTTTTAATATTTTGTATTAATAATTCATTTTAATTTCCTTGCTCAGTTTTAATATATTCACAAATTCAGATTTAAAAACAAAATAAGTTGTATAAATATTTTCAACATTTCTGATTTTTCCATAGTAACCATAGGAGAACGATTTGAGACTATCTGTGTAAAAAAAAGGTTTTAGATCATCACACCTTCACATACTTTCACTGGAATTTTCCTCTAAGCAGTTGAGAGTATGTATTTAAGAGGTTAAAGGGATATTGTAACTAGTGTTTCAAATCCTGATAACATCCCATACACTGTCGGTGGGACCTAGATAGGATGTCCTAAGGATACACTGGGATGTAACATTAAGCACTCAGGAGGATGAGTTTAGGAGGAAACTGGGATATTATGGGATGTGCTGAGGATGTAGTAAGTAGGACTTTAAATCTTAATAACATCCCATATGCTGTCGATGGAACATAGATAGGGTGTGTTTAGGAGGTTAGTGGGATATCCCGGGATGTTGTAAGTAGGAGTTTATATCCTAATAACATCCCATATGCTGTCGACGGGACTTAGTTAGGACGTCCTGAGGATGTACTGGGATGTGACATTAAGCACTCAGAAGGAGGTGTTTAGGAGGTTCACGGGATATTCCGAGATGTCCCGAGGATGTGCGCATATGTCGCAAGCAGCATCCTTGGGATATCTCAAGGATGTTTTTGTGCTATGTGGGTAATAACCTTAAATGTGCTTTATGCACTTCGTTAAAATTATACGAAATGCCCTTTTTTTTCCGCTCATGCACAATGGAAAAATGGAAAGGAAAATAGGTTACCATAAATTAAGAATTTTGCCAAATGAATAATTCTTGGCGCAAACTGAAAAAGTGCGCCAAGCTAAATTTTTTAAAATTTCTCATTAAATTTTACAAATATTTAGGCATAACTTAGATGTAGAATCGAAACATGGAAAAAATTGGTATGCTATTCCAGAAAATTCTCATTTTGTGTCAAAATACCCAAGTTAGAGCAATACTATACATAAATTTAATACTTGTCCTAAGTCGTGCTTTCAAGAAATGAAAAATTCAAGTTAAATTTCGTCAATCAGCCCAGTAGAATGGGAGATATAGAACTGTCCCCCCTTTTGGGGGGAGCAGAATGTACAAATTACATAACATACTGCACTAGAAACATTTCTGATTAATTACAACAAAGCTGAAATGTTTATAAAAATTAAGATGAATAGATTATAAATTACATGCATTTTTAAAATTTATATTATTAAAAACAAAAACAAGTTAGAGACTAAATTTTAAGATATGATCAGAGATTAAATTAATAAGAACTGTCAAACTGCTCAACTCATTAATCAAAAACAGACTGATTAAATTTGATGAATAAATGGAATTAAAGATCTTTTGTTATGAAATAAAAAAAAAGTCATATAGCTTTTATTTCCACTACCGGTGGTCACAGATATATAGTGTCAGTTACAAAAATAATTTAAATGAAATGTTTCAGACTTTTCAAATTTAGAAAAGCAATTTTACAAAAATTATGACATCTTTTTTATTACAGTTTATCAGTTCGTGCAGTTCTCATGCAATTCGATTATTTGCTTCATGGGAATTTCAAAACGGCACCCATTAAAGCTGGCACAATGTGCGCACAGCCATTAATGGGTTGCCAGATAAAATACATGTTCATTATATTCTGAGTTGCCTACTTTGGTAACACAGCACTCTGCCCGTTGATTCTTCTCGCTGCTGGGCAGAAAATGTGAAAGTGTCCATTTAAGTACTTATGTATTATCCTAAAGACTGTGAAACTCACCAAGCAGTGCGATTTAGTCACGGTTATTGGTAAGCACGACAGAATAACACACTCATAACTCTGTGCATTTGTTTGATGCAAACCAGATTGATTCTCCATAATCCACATCATGTTTTTATTGAACAAGGATATAAATTAACTGTTAATTTCTTTCTTGCATTTTGAAATAGAATGATTCAAATTTGAGACTTGCCTTCTAATGAAACAACAAGCAGATGGTTATTTTCAAAGCTTCAGAATCTTACCATTGAAAAAAGTAGTGTGCATTAATGGACACAATATGATCAACTGAATAGGTCTGACAAAACATTAATAGACTGGAAGAATTACTAGTGGGGAAGCTTTGCTCATAGCATGCAAAAAAGACCTACCATTAAAATTGGAGAGCCTAACAAATTAATTGACATTGCTGAAAGCCTTTCAAAATGCACAAAAAGAAAACATGTCAAATGTTGATTGTTTATTAAATAAAGAGGCATTAGTTCCTTCAGAATTCTGCAGGACAACGATAGGCACAATTCTGGCAGGATCTCCCCCAACTTTCATGGTTAATTAAATAATATGTAAGTACCAACAGTTATATACATGAAATCACAGTAATAAATTATTTGATGAAAATACTTACTAAATATATCTGATTTGAAAGTATAGCTCCACTCGAAAAATCCCATACCATTATGGTGCGATCGGCAGAATCGCGGGTGACAATTGCATTGCTGCAAATGAATTCATTTTCATCCAAAAATGCAATATCTAACACCTAAAATAAATAAAGCATTAAAAATCTTTTCATGTCTGTTGCTCAAATCATGTACAGATTCATTAAAGTTAACATAACAAAATGCAAAAATAAATATTTGTAATATTTTTATTAAAAAGTTTTCTTTGTTTTTACTTTAATTGTTTCATCTTTATACTGGCTAGCCACCTAAAATAGTTATTATAAAATATATATATATATATATATATATATAAAATGATTTTAGTTAATGTAATGTCATAGGTCTGTAGGCAACAATTATTATTGGTCATAATAACTACAACTACTACTAGATAATGACTACTACTTTAACTTCACCTTTAGTTTCAGTTTAGTTTCAGAAGGTTGTCATGCCATAAAATCAGTAAGGAGTTAGTGAGGGCTACAAAGAATAATAAAGATGTTATATATGGAAAATAGTGATTCTTGCTTTTTGATTTTTGCTATTTAAATTATTATAAAAAGAACTTAGCAAGCAACCACATACTTGGTGACCTCGGAATTATTGATAAAGATGTCAGAAAGTGAAGAATCGGCGATTAAAGAAGAAATAGCAGGGGTAAGTGTTAAAATACCTCCCTTTTGGGCTGAAAAGCCAGAGATATGGTTTTATCAAGTAGAAGCACAGTTTTCTATTTGTGGAATAACTGCTGAGGAAACTAAATTCAACTACTTAGTATCGCAATTGGAAGCAAAATTTGTTGAAAGTTTATGGGATATTATAAGTGACAATAGCAAAACCAAATATACTGCTGCTAAAGAACGTCTCTTGAACACTTTTAAAGAAAGTGAAAATAAATGTTTACAGAGACTGCTAACAGGCATAGACTTGGGAGACAGTAAACCTCGTCAACTTTTTACAAAAAATGCAAAATCTTGCTACCGATGGCATTTCGGATAAAGTTCTTAAATCACTATTTCTGCAGAAAATGCCAGATACTGTGCGCAATATTTTAATCGTTAGTGATGAAGATATCGAAAAACTAGCTCTGATGGCGGATCGTATCATCGAAATGCAACCAAAACAAGAACTATACTGTGCCAGCAGTATTGTTTCTCCAGGAACAGATGCTATTGCTGAATTATGACAACAAATTGCAGCTTTGGATAATAAATTCGAAAAACTAACTGTCACAAGAAATTCTCGTTCTCGCTCAAGAAATAGCAGTCGATCATCTAATAATCGAAGTAAATCTCGGAGTGTTATAACCCTAATGGCAAGTACTGTTATTTCCACTTTCATTTTCAAGAAAAGTGTTTTCCTGATAGATGCAAACCCCCATGTGGATGGAAATCAGCTCCCCGGAAAACGAAAATCAGCAGTAGAATTAGCGGCAGACTCTGCTGCTGCTGTAAAAAGAAAATTGCCTGTAAATTCCGCTTATTTATCACGGACAAAAAAACAGGTTTACGTTTTCTGGTTGACAGTGGAGCAGAGGTAAGCCTTATTCCTTGTACTTCTAAACACAAACTTATTAGTGACTATAAATTATATGCTGCAAATAATACAGAAATTGATACTTTTGGTACAGAAGTTTTAATTCTTGATCTTGGTTTACGCCGAGAATTTCAATTCCCATTTATTGTAGCAAAAATTAGTAAACCCATATTAGGTGCAGATTTTTTAAATAAGTTCAATTTATTGATTGATATAAAGCATAAAAGGCTAATTGATGGTGTGACGAACCTTGCAGTTTATGGTGACATCGCACCCATCTCTATTCATGAAACTGTAAATACAACGGGCAGCTTATGTAAATATTCTGATTTATTTGCTATGTATCCTAGTATAACAAAACCAAATTTTCTTATTTCTACCGTAAAGCATAATGTGAAACATCATATTATAACTAAAGGACAACCTGTAAGTTGTAAAGCAAGACCATTAGACTCTAAACGGTTGGAAATAGCTAAAAGAGAATTCAAATATATGCTGGACAATAACATCATTAGTCCATCCAGTTCAGAATGGGCAAGTCCCCTACACATAGTGACAAAGAAAGACAGTTCTTTCCACTCATGTGGGGATTACAGAAGACTGAATGATTTAACTGTACCTGATCGTTATCCCATTTCTCGAATTCAAGATTTTCAACATATTTTAACTCATAAAACTATATTTTCTAAAACTGATCTCTTTAAAGCGTATTTTCACATTCCAGTAGCAGATGAAGATAAAGAAAAAACTGCTATTATCACACCTTTTGGTCTTTACCAATTCAATGTCATGAGTTTTGGTCTCAAAAATGCCCCCGCGGCCTTTCAGAGGTTCATCAATGAAGTTTTTTTATGGCCTAGAGACTTTGTGTTTCCATATTTGGATGATGTGTTGATTGCCTCTTCTTGCGAGGAAGAACATCGTTTACATCTTAAAACAATTTTTCCAGCATTTAGATAAATATGGTCTCCGAATTAATATTAGCAAATCAGTTTTGGGAGTACCTGTAATAGACTTTTTGGGCTATCAAATATCTGCTGAACGTTCAAAACCTCTATCTGAAAAAATTAAAGCTATCACAGAATATCCATTTCCAGAAACTATACACCAACTTCGTTCCTTCTTAGGACTGATCAATTTCTATCGTAATTACATTAAAAATGCCGCAGAAACTCAAGCTCCTCTTCATGAACTTTTGAAAGGATCTACAAAAAAAGATCGACGTAAAATACTATGGACCAATGAAACCAGAAAAAGTTTTGAAAAATGTAAACAAGATATTGCTCAAGTAGCGTTGATGGCCTACCCCAATTCGGATTACCCTCTGGCACTTCTCACAGATGCATCCGATTTGGCTATTGGGTCAGTTATTCAACAAAAAGAACCCAATGGATGGAAACCTATTGCATTTTTTTTTCAAAAAAGCTTAATGATTCCCGAAAAATTATAGCGCTTACGATCGCGAGCTTTTGGGTATATATTTATCCGTTAAACACTTTTTAAACATTTACTTGAAGGCCGCGATTTTACTATTTATACGGATCATAAGCCCTTAACGTTTGCTTTTAAGCAGAATCATAACAAAGCATCTCCCACACAACTCAGACAGTTACAATATATCTCACAATTCTCTACTAACCTATGCCATATTAGTGGTCAAAACAATGTGGTTGCAGACAGCCTATCTAGGATTGAGGACATCGATTCACCTGTTGTTGATTTTGACCTGATAGCAGATGCACAAATTAATGATGATGAACTGCAACAGTTGAAATTACATTCCAAACCATTGCATATTAAACAGCACCAATTACCATCAGGAAAACTCTTATATTGCGATCCCTCTACTTCTAGTATCAGACCATTCATACCTCAAACTTTTCGGATGAAAATATTTAATGCAATTCATGGTTTAGCTCACCCTGGAATACGAAGTGTAAAAGAGATTACTAAAAGATTCATTTGGCCGGATAAAAAAAAAGATGTTAAACAGTGGGCTCAAACTTGTATCGATTGTCAGAAAAATAAAGTAACTAAACATACAAAATCAGAATATTCTCAATATCAAGCACCAGACGAAAGATTTAGTGTTGTGCACATTGATTTAATTGGGCCTTATTCACCTTCTAATGGATACACTTATTGTTTGACGTGTATTGATCGGTTTACCTCTTGGATGGAAGTGGTACCGTTATCAAATATCACAGCAGAAAATACAGCAAGAGCCTTTTATGAACATTGGATCACACGATTTGGTGTACCTTCTTGTGTTATTACTGACAGAGGAACTCCATTCATTTCGGAACTGTTTCGAAATTTGGCTTCGCTATGTGGAGTAAAAGTAAACCATACAACTTCTTACCATCCTCAGAGTAATGGGAAAATTGAACATCTACACCGTACTTTAAAAGCAGCTATTAGATATCATAATTCTCTTCATTGGACAGAAACATTACAAACAGTTCTTATGGGTTTGCGAGCTGCTCTACATGAGGACTGTAAGTATACAATAGCTGAAATGGTTTATGGCAAAACTATTAAATTACCTGGCGAATTCTTTGAAGAATCACACATGCCAATATCTAATGATAATTTTGTAAGTAATCTTCGAAATCAGATGGCCCTTTTAAAGCCCTATCAATCCAAATCCAAATGTAAAAACAAAAGATTTTGTCCCAAAAGATTTGTACACATGCTCGCACGTGTTTCTGCGGGTTGACAGAGTAAAAAAACCTTTGGAGCCCCCATATGAAGGACCCTTTTTGGTACTGCAAAGAACCCCGAAATATTTTCTTCTATCAATTAAAAATAAACAAGTTAGTATCTCTGTGGATAGGTTAAAACCAGCTTATGTGTTACAACCTAATGAACTTTTGTCTCCAACTTCAAAAAGTGATCATACATCTGTGCCAAGTAAGCAACTAGAACAACCTAAAAAATTAACACGATGTGGAAGACAAGTAAAACTTCCAGTTCGTTTCAATGACGTTATTGATTCTTCTTGAACTTATAACTCTTTCATATCAATTTAAAACTTAATTCTGTTTTTTTTTTTTTTTTTTTTTTTTTTTTTTTTTTTGTGTGTGTACATAATTTTCAATTTATATATTTGTATCAGTGTTATTTGTATAAATATTTGTATCTTCTCTCCCACCATGTTTTCAGAGTAACGTAACTTTGTTACTGGTAGGGGAGTGATGTAGGCAACAATTATTATTGGTCATAATAACTACAACTACTTCTACTAGATAATGACTACTACTTTACACTTCACCTTTAGTTTTCAGTTTAGTTTCAGAAGGTTGTCATTGCCATAAAATCAGTAAGGAGTTAGTGAGGGCTACAAAGAATAATAAAGATGTTATATATGGAAAATAGTGATTCTTGCTTTTTGATTTTTGCTATTTAAATTATTATAAAAAGAACTTAGCAAGCAACCACAGGTCCCTCTAGTAATTAATAATTGAAATGAAATTGCATTCGCTGTATATAAATTGCTTAGTCTGTTAATTAGCAATAGAAAAGTTTGAACAAAAGGACATTTCCACAGGATCTTAAAAATATTTTAATTTGGGCAGTCACAATACATTTCTTTTAAACTGTTGAGTTTCTGATTAAATTTGAAACATAAATATCTTATACTTTTTGAGACAGCAATAAAAAGCTTTTATATTGCTGAGTTTTTAATCAGAAGTTCATTAAATATGAAACAGATTTTTTTTTTAAATTCAAAATTCCAACTTTGAGGTGCACACATTCTATATGTTTCAAACTTTGGCAGCTCTTGGTGCCACAGTTCTTCCTTGTGTTCCAATGAACATACATACAAATTCTTGATTATTTTAATAACAGAGATATAGCTTCCATTCTTTTACCTCTTGAAAGTTACAAAAAATAATTTCAATATTTAATTTTTATTAAAGTATTTCACCAATAAAATATATAAAATTTGCAAGTAAAAAAAATTGTAGGGGACAAAGACAATGCTAATATTTTATGAACTGACATATATTATATGTCAATGCTAATATTTATTCATTAATGATAAATTAAGGAACTGTAAGGAAATGAAGGAGTCATCTACAAAGGTGATTAAACTTGTAAAACAGTTGTAAAACTACTTCAGCTATAAACAAAAACTCGAAAGCCATGCTACACAAATATATAAGTATATTTCACTATTCCTAACTTGTGTTTTTGGTTTTTCATAATCGTCATGGCCCCCATTATAATAGTGCCAAGATTATCACCAAGTTCATGTTCACTTTTCTCACATAGTTCCTTGCTGCCATACTTCTGCAACTGCTTTTAGTATGGCATAAAAAACATTGGTTGATCTTTACATTATGGTAATTTGGCGTTTTTTTGGCGAAAATTTGGCGACTAACTCTCCTACAGCAACCCCATATTTTTTTTTCCCGCCGCCATTTTGTCTTCACGAAGAAAAGACATGTTTCTTTTCTTTTTATCTACTGAACACTTCTTCCAACAATCTACTAGCCAAATTACACTTATGCTAGAAATTTTATCTAACAAAACTACTTAATCATGACAAATATTCACTGCAAAATTGGGAAAAAGTGCACAATACCATACTCCTTACGCGTTTTTCAAAATAACGCATACACATAAACCATGTACACGCCGACTTATTTTTACTTAAAAAAAAATCCCAGAATTGCACAAAAATGGCATTGCGCACACTCTTCACTATATCCATGTACACTGCTTGTTTCTCATAAATTAGAAAAATTTCACGAAAATACATGACAATTTTCTCAATCTTTAAACCCGGTAAAAAGAACATATATGAAATTACCTGATCGCAAAAAAGTATTTACCCTTTACAAATATGAACATTTCCACATATAAAATAAATAAAATATCCAAAAACTTTTACCTCTAAATCATCTATTACATTATACACGTCACCAACAAATTCATACCGCAAGCATTACAAATACTTAGTATCAAATATTTAAATTATTTCCATGCACGTTTACTTCAACTTAAACGTGTACCAAATTCCTACAAACATAAAATTCACAAAATAACTATCATTTAATTAAAATATCACTAAACCATGTACACGTTGACTTATTTTTACTTAAAAAAACATCCCAGAATTGCACAAAAATGGCATTGCACAAAAATGGCATTGCGCACACTCTTCACTATATCCATGTACACTGCTTTTTTCTCACAAATTAGAAAAATTTCATGAAAATACATGACAATTTTCTCAATCTTTAAACCCGGTAAAAAGAACATATATGAAATTACCTGATCGCGAAAAAGTATTTACCCTTTCCAAATATGAACATTTCCACATATAAATTAAATAAAATATCCAAAAACTTTTACCTCTAAATCATCTATTACATTATACACGTCACTAACGAATTCATACCGCAAGCATTATAAATACTTAGTATCAAATATTTAAATTATTTCCATGCACGTTTACTTCAACTTAAACGTATACCAAATTCCTACAAACATAAAATTCACAAAATAACTATCATTTAATTAAAATATCACTAAACCATGTACATGCCGACTTATTTTTACTTAAAAAAACATCCCAGAATTTCACAAAAATGGCATTGCGCACACTCTTCACTATATCCATGTACACGGCTTTTTTCTCATAAATTAGAAAAATTTCACGAAAATACATGACAATTTTCTCAATCTTTAAACCTGGTAAAAAGAACATATATGAAATTACCTGATCGTGAAAAAGTACTTACCCTTTCCAAATATGAACATTTCCACATATAAGATAAATAAAATATCCAAAAACTTTTACCTCTAAATCATCTATTACATTATACACGTCACCAACGAATTCATACCGCAACCATTACAAATACTTAGTGTCAGATATTTAAATTATCTCCATGCACGTTTACTTCAACTAAAACGTATACCAAATTCCTACAAACATAAAATTCACAAAATAACTATCATTTAATTAAAATATAATTAAATTCAAAAACACTACTTAAAATATAAATGAGCACATACATTAAATTAATACATACATAAATACCATTTCGAACTCACTTTAGTTACGGCCATGGGATCCAAAAATTCACGAACACTGTTTCACACAACACAGAATAAAGCCAAATACAAAATTTCCAGATTTTTTCCCGATTTCCCCCCTTTTCCGATTAAAGAACCGTAATTCGTCCATTAATATCACATAACATATCCCATGATCTCTCATTTCCCTCACACAAAATAATGCGTAATCGGAACTGAGTACTGCTTACATTATTACCAAAGTCCCAGGTAGTAAAACCTTTATCGCCTCCAAAATGTCGCCAAACTACCAGTTACCATATTGTAAAGATCAAACCTTTCGTCACATTAATTCTGTAAAATAGAAGTAGAGATGATGTCAAGCAGTGCCTTGCTGCTTTCTGTTTGCCACTAAGCACAGCCCTACTTTACACATTTTGTGTATGAGCAGACATTTTTGGATTTACAAAATAGAATTTATGATTCATGGTACAGAGAACATATCCTACTTTCCTTCTCGTATATGATTCATGACTTTTTCCAAGAGCGTGGTTTTTTTTTTTGTTTGGTACCCAAACACAAAAGCACTCACTAGCTTCTTCGCATACCCTGATAAATATCCACTATTGTGAAAGAAACCGGTCAATGCTGTGCTTTTGCCAGACGAACAAACTTTCGGCTATTTTCACAATTTTTCCAGGACCATATATTCATTTACTTGGTTATTAGATTAAATGCAGAGAACATAACAGCTTTATAAAACTCTTCCAGTTTACAGTCATATTTTTGCAAAGGTCGAGTTGTTTCTCTCATTGCATAATTGATTTCACTTCTTCAGTCCAAAAGTAAACAAATCACAGCATTGTTACAAAAGTTGTTCTGGAGTCATTAAACCTAGTCGTATTTTTCCCCCTATTTTGCAACTTTCTATGCTGCACTTCTAAATGTTTTCATTGATGTACAGTTTCATTTTGTAGCTAATTTTGCACATTTAAATGCAAGGTAAAATGCCTCTTTCTTGGAAGAATGAATAACATCTCCCTTTATTATCAGTAAATCAAAAATCATAAAAAAAAGGGGGGGGAATGCATCAACATATGGTCTATTCACAAATCTTATCTTCTGTAGTCATCGGTAAATCACAAACTGTGAACCTTTTTTAAAAAGAAAAGATGTTAACACACAACATACTCAAAGCTGTTCTCGTTACAAGTGAACTAGTTAAGTGATAAGAATTACCATTGGTGATTTAAAAAAGGGGGGCCATAAAAATAAGGAAGTGCAATTTTTTAGCTAAAACTTATACTTAAAAAACAGTCAGATAACTAATTCATATTTTGGTAAATTATCATAATAAATAAGCTACCATTTTAAAATGCTACTTACATCTTCCCCTTTGGTAAAAAATGTCCGTATTGGCAGAGATGAATTTACCCTTAAATCAAAGCCTAAAATTGCATTGCGTGTTCCACACACAAAGAGATCATCCATGTATGGATGAATTTCCATGCTAGTTACGAAGTTATAAACATCATAAGCAGCAATTTCCATCCCTGAAATAGAAAACTAATTATTACTTGGGCAAAATCTTTACTTGTTGAGAAGATTATTTTTGAAAAGAAACACTAAAGTAAACCACCATCAATTTAAATCCTTACACATTTCATAAACATGAAAATGAATAAAGACTCACATGCATGAAAGTATTTATAAAAGCAAAGTGATACAAATTAAAATGCTTAATACATTTGTAAAAATTTCTGCTTCATTTTCTTTGGGAACATTCATATGCCATATGATTGGTGTGGACTGAACTGGGTGTTTGCTCAATTTCGGGACATCTACTTCCACTACAAAACTTGATATAGTTAACTCATACATAATAAAGTACTCTTGAAAGAGATGGAATAACTTTGATTCCTGTTCTGCTTTAATATTCAGTGTAAGTGATCCAAAAAAAAAAAAAAAAAAAACGTGGAGATAAAAGATGCTATGTCTTCCTCTTCTTACCGCAGCGATAAAAAAAATTTAGAAATTCTGGAACAGGCATGATTAATTAAGACACAATAACACGCCGAATAAATACTAAGTCAGAAGTCAAACAACAAAAATGAGCGTTACATTTTCAAAATTTTCACAGGACTAGTTTCGATGGTTTTACCGAACCACCATCTTCAGCTGCAAAACTGCAAATGAACAAGATAGGAAATAATGATTAAATAAGATAAGAAAGCCTGGACAAGAATAAGCAAGTGGCGCTATCTGTTGATGAAGCCAGAACTAAAACATAATTTCTTTAAAGGCCGAAGGCAAAGATGGATTGGAATTAGGATCGTTAACTAGAACAGAAAGATTTTTTTGAATGTGAAATGCCTCTAGAAAATCCAGTTCTCCTATGGAAGATGCTTTTTGAATAATTTTGGCAGCAGAAAAATTGAAAGTGTGACCAACAATCTGTTGGTCAGCATTGTTCTTCTGTTGTTCAACATTGTTAATAATTTCAGAATAACAATTTCACTGTAGTATTAATTATCCAATTAAATGCATTAAGAACCAAAACTAATTCATTCTGAATTAAGATTTCACCTAAGCACAGGTCACTCACTCGCTTTCTGCATTTTGACTTGATTACAGTTTAAGGCTTCTTTTTTACTGCAAAGCTATCAAAAATATAAACATTTAGAACAGAATAGTGTGCCATGCTGTTTGTGGCCACAACATGTTTTTTTAAATAAAAATGGATTTTTAATCTGCCTTTGTTGTCAAATATCACTTGGTTATGGATTAATATTCTACACATCTACACTGTCAATGTTCATTACATCTAAATCTGCTTCATTACATACATATATGAAATGTATTTTGGTACTTTTCCGTTTCGCCGGCACAAATCTCGCCAAGCAGACTTTATTGGCGACAACATACAGTATACACATAAGAAATATTAAAAAAATGTTAGGTCTAAGAATTCTTTTTTTGAATGTATAAACATTTTAATATCGCTTACAATTTTATAAAAAGCCAATAAATAAAGGCAATAAATTTGCAAAAGGACATTAAGAATTTACTATGGTTCAACATCCTGATTCGCCGGTTCATATCATGTGACCCCAAGCAATCTCATCTCACGTAAACTACTCTACAAAAATCTAATGCTCTCAGTAATTATCTACATTAATTTCAAGTTAAATCTTAATTTGGAACACAAGTTTAAATGCAAGAAATATTTCAGTTCGTACGAATAGCTTACTCAGAAATTATGTAAAACTGCAGTGCTTTTAACGAAATGATTCAAGCGCAGTTTACCAAGCCAAGCACTAGTTTTGAATGAAGCCTTTTTATGGCTAAATTCTATTCTCAAAACTAATAAGTCACAATATGTGAGCATTTATACAGATAGCCAAAGGTGTTATGTTCACAAAGAAAACAAATATAGAAATGAATATTCATCCTATTAGGCTAACTTAGAAACGGGGAGATACAGGTACAATAGGGAATAAAGCTGCTGATACATCAGCTAAGGATGCCACATTAGAAGATATAACTAATATCCATCTTCCTATTTCAAGACTTGCAATCAAGAATAAGATTCCCAAATAAATTTTAATAAAATGGCAAAGAAGATAGAATGCAGCAGATACAGGAAGATTAACTCACAAATACTTCCCACAAATAACCCTAAAAAGAATAAAAACAAATTTCCTTCTATTACCATTAAGTAACAAATGACAGAAAGTTTCCATCTTATTTCCAGTGAATTTTAAGAAATATAACTTTCAATTATTAGAGTAAAGCATTTACCAGGATTTGCAATAAAAATTCCTGTGAGAGATTTATTCTACAATACGAAGTGTGCATCTGCACTTCAACAAATTATGAAATATGTTATTAAAAATGAAAGCATTGTGATTATAAATAATTAATCATATTACATGAGTCATTTAGCAAGTATTTATGAACAAGTCAAATTATAACACACCCTGTCTACATGAGTAAAGAGCAAGAAACCATTGGAAAATTACATAAAGTCTCTTTTCCATCTGTATATGTTGTTCTTCTTTCCTATGTTATTTTATTACTTTATATGTTTAACATAGGACCAGTGGGTGCTATTGATGAGGGCAATGAAATTTCCAGTCAAGTGTAGTTAATCAATGTTTATGCTCTCAGACTTATGGCTGCATATGCTGAGCTGATGGCTGATCAACTGTTTCAGCACCGGATTTGGTTGATCTTTACATTACGGTAACTTGGCGATTTTTTGGCGAAAATTTGGCGACCAACTCCCCTACAGCAACCCTTTATTTTTTTTTTTCCCCGCCGCCATTTTGTCTTCATGAAGTAAAGACATGTTTCTTTTTTTCTTATCTACTGAACACTTCTTCCAACAATCTACTAGCCGAATTACACTTATGCTAGAAATTTTATCAAACAAAACTGCTTAATCATGACAAATATTCACTGAAAAATTCGGAAAAAGTGCACAATACCATACACCTTACGCGTTTTTTCAAAATAACACATACACATAAACCATGTAAACGCCGACTTATTTTTTTACTTAAAAAACATCCCAGAATTGCACAAAAATGGCATTGCGCACACTCTTCACTATATCCATGTACACTGCTTTTTTTTCTCATAAATTCGAAAAATTTCACGAAAATACATGACAATTTTCTCAATCTTTAAACCCGGTAAAAAGAAAACATATATGAAATTACCTGATCGCGAAAAAGTATTTACCCTTTACAAATATGAACATTTCCACATATAAATATCCAAAAAACTTTTACCTCTAAATCATCTATTACATTATACACGTCACCAACGAATTCATACATGAAGCATTACAAATATTTAGTATCAAATATTTAAAATTATTTCCATGCACATTTATTTCAACTTAAACGTAAACCAATTCCTACAAGCATAAAATTCACAAAATAACTATCATTTCATTAAAATATCACTGACCATGTACACGTCGACTTATTTTTTACTTAAAAAAACATCCCAGAATTGCACAAAAATGGCATTGCGCACACTCTTCACTATATCCATGTACACTGCTTTTATCTCATAAATTAAAAAAATTTCACGAAAATACATGACAATTTTCTCAATCTTTAAACCCGGTAAAAAGAACATATATGAAATACCGTTACCATCAAATGTTAGAATCCTGCATCATATTTGAAGAAATTAAATAATGAAAAATCTGCATAAATGTATGTTTATTTCCTGCATTGTGATAAAACAATGTTATATAGAGCCATCGAAATGAATTTTTGATTAATAAACTCAAGGATTTTAAAGCGAGCAATGGCAATGTTTGGCTAATCTTTGGAATATGGTAACAGGTAGTTTGGCGACATTTTGGTAAGGCAATAAAGGTTACTAGCTAGGACTTTAGCAGTGTACATGGATAAAGTCAAGAGTGCTCGCAATGCCATTTTTGTGCAATTCTGGGATGTTTTTTTAAGTGAAAATAGGTCGACGTGTACATGGATGATACCGTGTATGTGCAATTCTTAAAAACGCGGCAAGCAGTGGGCGATTCTGCACCTTCTCCCAATTTCGCACCTAATCTTCGTCATGATTAAGTACTTTTGTTCCATAAAAGTTCCAGCATAAGCGTAATTCGGCTAGCAGATTGTTGGAAAAAAATGTTGAGTAAAAAAAAAAAAACATACCTTTATTTCGTGAAAACAAAAACTAGCAGGTTGCTGTAGCAGGGTTGGTCGCCAAATTTTCGCCAAGTTACCATACTCCAAAGGTTAACCCAATGTTTTACAGAGAAAACATTTTTATCTCCAGCGTGTGAGACTGCGTATCGGAAATTATAAAGATATGCTTAATTTAAAACTATTTTACGACATTGCTCTTGAACTGAATTTTATGGTTTAAGTGTGGAGAACATGATATTTAATACACAAAGGTAACAGACAAAATGTTAAAAAAACGCCCCTTTGGACGTAATTTAAAATCTGAATCCTTTCAGATATTTTTATTTATATATTTTTAATCTTTGTTTCTATAAACTTCCATTCATTAAGATGATTAAAAAATAAAAAAAGTGACAAAACCAAGTGGCCAACAGATAAAACATATACCAAAAGACAAAAACTCATGACTAGATAAAACCAGTCATGCCACTCAGAGGGTTAAAGTGGACACATCCCTTCTGCGGCATGTACGAGCAAAAGTTGGCTACAGTCATGCATACTTGAAAATGATGCTAAAACAAAGAAATTTCACCAATTATTGAAAAGGGGTTGAGGATACTCAGAAAGCACCATGTATTTTTTTACAACTGTATTTTGAGTTTTAAAAGAATTCCTTACCACTAAGAACATCAAAAACATGTGCTTTTTTCCCATAGCCCCCCGTAAGAACTTGTTCACCATCCAGAGACCATTTGGCAGCTTTTAAACCCAAGTTATTTTTAAAGCATCGCACTGGATTTTTGCAAAAGATGTCCCATATCTTCAGAGTACCATCAGCGGAAGCAGAAAGCAATAAATGGCTGTACTGAGGAATGCACCAGTTTAATGAAGTAACAGTATTCGTATGGCCAGTGAAAGTTTGAATGATTTGATGTGGTATTCGGCAAACAATATTCTTAATATATGCGTCATTTACTCTTTCGTCCTTTCTGTATATATGAGTACTGGATATAGACGCATCACTGCTACTTACTATATCAGTATCTTTTCCTTTAAAATCAGGATCTTGAAATTCACATTTTTGCCGTTTGTGCACATTTTCACATGGAGAATCACTTGGATTCTCTCGTTTATTTGTTTCCATTTGTTGATTACATTCAACTGATACTCGTCCACTCTGATCAGTTGATATGTTAGCATTTTGGGGTGCAAAACACTCATCCTTAAGAATAGCGGCAGAATTAAGTAAACTAATTATTTTATTTTGAATAAGCTCTTGAGCATCCTCGGTATCACTTCCATCTAAATTTAAGAAATCAATTTTTTCAGCAGAACTTGGTTTTTCAATCACTAAGTTGACAACATTTTTCGCACATGCGTTCGATTGACTACATTCATCTACTTCATTTTTAACAGTAATTACAGAAGGTAATGATTTACTTTCATCACATGACTTTTCAGTATTTTTATTCGAAATAGAGGGCAAGTTTCGATTTTCCCCTACATTTTGTTCTTCACTATCACTATCATCTATGCATATTACTTCGATATTATAAGTGGAATTTCTATTTTTTTTCCGAGGAAATTTCACATTATCATTTTCTGATGCATCTGAACTATAACCAGAGACTAAATCCATATCTTCAGAATATTTCATCCATCTTACAAGTGCAAAAGCTTAAACAAAATCAAAATAAAAGTTTATTTCACTTCATTGCACTCATTTCACTTTTTGCAATAATGAATACATTTAAATGATTCATCTAGCTATATTTCAATTTAATGAATTAAAAGGAATAAAATAAGGGAGAAATCTTGTTGAAAGATAATATTTTTAATATATAATTTGTAAATTTATAATTTTTTGCAAATTGACTCATATAGTTTTCTTGAAAAATGTATTATGAAATTACTTGTACTTTTCCTTACCCGTTGATTGTTGACATTTTAGAACTGCATGTGTTTTCTCGTATGAAAGAGTATTTACGATGGCAGTTGATCGCTCAAAAGCTAAACTTTCCAGTAATGTGCTGCAGATGAAGGTAACATCTTTGCTTTATTATTATTAGGTATTAGGTTTCTTAACATTTTATGAAGATATTCATCGTTCTCCTTTCCGTAAATGTAGATATTTGGCTACTAAACTTAAGTGTGTGGCATATTACGAAGTGCAAACAAATTATAAATGATAGCATACATAGTCTACTACTAATAAAAAGTGAGTTAAAAAGTATTTGGTATAATATTTGACTATTTAAAAGCTAAATTTACTTACGTTTATGCTATCATTTATAGTTTGTTAAACCGTTTAGCCTTGTATATAAATATACAGTGTAGCTATTAAATAATGAAATTATATTTTTTAAAATCTTCTACAGAGCTGAAAGATTGAAATTGCATTGCATTTAGAAAAATCATGGAACAGCTTTAGTATTGGTCCTTTTGGCGATTTTTTGATTTGGCGACAAACTTCGGTCGCTAATGTATACCCGGCTTTGAAGATCGGAAAAAAATGGCGGATTGCCAACAAAACCCGATCTAGACTACATAACAATCCCCAAAAATAAGCTCTTAATCGGAATAAACAGTCTTTCTCTAATTTTCAACATTTCTAGTACTGCTATGATAAATTCTTGAAATATACTGTAAATGAATATATGGCAGTGATTATGTTATGAGTAATGAAATTTACAAAAGATTAATATTTTAAATTACAAAATATTTTAAATAGTTAGTTAATATTTATATCATATTAGTACTTAGCTAATATTTTAAATTTACAAAAGGTTAATTTTTATGTTATGAATAATGAAATTTACAAAAGGTTAACAAATGCATTTCAAACTAGTAGTATATGTTACTTTAGTTTCTTAGTTTCTGTTATTAAAAGAAAATAAAAAAGTATTTCAAAGTGAAGGAAATCAAATTAAATTATACTGAGTAAAATTTTACCAGCGTTACAAATACTTTTTATGATTAAACTTTGTAAAGGTAAAAATGTTAAGAAGTGTGTATTTTTTAATCATTTTATTTATTACAAGTAATTTATGATTATAATTTAAAAGCTAAAATTAAATTATCATACTGAGTAAATTCTGTACCAATGGTAATAATAAACAACAACAATCATCATAACTGATTATTTCAGTGTCGAACAATCATTGGAATCCATTAGTGGTGGAGTGATAAGCCACTGAATGGTGGTAGTTCAGGCTGGCTACATGGGAGTTTTTGTAGTTTTCCTTACATGCAATGTGAATCTGAGCCAGTTTCTCTTAAAAAGTCCTTTATGAAGACATCCTTCTTCTGCTAGCCAGCGTATATATTTATTTTCTATTCATAAATACTCTCTCTTCATATTTCTTAATTGTAAATCTTACTTCTGAAGTGAAAAGAAGTGTTGCATCTATAGGTTGAAAAATATGGTCAATATGTTTGCAAAATCCTGTTCAGTTTTGGACAGCATTTAATTAAAATAATCTGTATATGATGCAAACAAAAATGCATTACACTATTTCATGTAGTGAATAATTAATCAGGGAACAAAGTATAATGTAACGTTCCTTTATTTTGTAACCAGAGTTATTTTATGTTTGGGATCTTTACTGTCAATTTCCCTATCTGTTTTCCACCAGAATCCAAATGAAATTTTGGTTGATCTTTACATTATGGTAACTTGGCGATTTTTTGGCGAGAATTTGGCGACCAACTCTCCTACAGCAACCCTCTATTTTTTTCCCTTTTTTCCCCGCCCCATTTTGTCTTCACGAAGTAAAGACATGTTTCTTTTCTTTTTATCTCCTGAACACTTCTTCCAACAATCTACTAGCCGAATTACACTTATGCTAGAAATTTTATCAAAACAAAACTGCTTAAATCATGACAAATATTCACTGCAAAATTAGGAAAAACTGCACAAACCATTCTCCTTACGCATTTTTCAAAATAACACATACCATGAACCATGTACACGCCGACTTATTTTTACTTAAAAAAACATCCCAGAATTGCACAAAAATGGCATTGCGCACACTCTTCACTATATCCATGTAACACTGCTTTTTTTCTCATAAACAAAAATTTCACGAAAATACATGACAATTTTCTCAATCTTTAAACTCTGGTAAAAAGAACATATATGAAATTACCTGATCGCGAAAAAGTATTTACCCTTTACAATATGAACATTTCCACATATAAAATAAATAAAATATCCAAAAACTTTTACCTCTAAATCATCTATTACATTATACACGTCACCAACGAATTCATACCGCAAGCATTACAAATACTTAGTATCAAATATTTAAATTATTTCCATGCACGTTTATTTCAACTTAAACGTATACCAAATTCCTACAAGCATAAAATTCACAAAATAACTATCATTTCATTAAAATATAATTAAATTCAAAAACACTACTTAAAATAGCAATGAGCACATATATTAAATTAATAAAAATTACCTTACAAGTCCTAATTACTTTAAACTAAACTAAATCATTGCTAATAACAATTTTCCCAATAATACCAATTCCTTTCCACCTTACATTTACCAACAATGCATAAAATAATATCCTCAAATAATTTAAAATACTAACTTACCTAATCTTCTTCAGAATCTTCATTACGTGGCGGATACACTTTTTTCTTACTCTGTTCAGAATCTTTAAAATCATACTTATCTTTCAAAGCAAGATACCAGGTAAAATAAATAACATAATAAAACATGTTTATTTCTCTCTCACACAACCTTAAAAAACATTTATTACTATCCTTTTCAATACCACTAAATACCCATTTCGAATTCACTTTAGTTACGGCCATGGGATCCTAAAAATTCACAAACACTATTTCACACAACACAGAATAAAGCCAAATACAAAATTGCCAGATTTTTTTTCCCGATTAAAGAACGTAATTCGTCCATTAATATCACAACATATCCCATGATCCTCATCTCTCATTTCCTCACACAAAATAATGCGTAATCAGAACTGAATACTACTCACATTCTTAACAAAGTTAACTAACCTAATCTTCTTCCGAATCTTCCTTACATGGTGGATACACTTTTTATCATGGATTCAATAAAATTACTGAACGATTTTTTTTTCCGACTTTGATAGAATTTCATAAAAAAAATTCCTTTCTCACATCTACATTCACTTTAGACAGCGCCATACAATCCCAAAATTATTCAACCCTACTTCACACAACCACAGTGAAGCTTAATACAAAATAATATACATCCACAGATACTTGTCCAAATTCCCCCCTTTTCCGATTAAAGAACCGTAATTCGTCCATTAACATCACATGACATATCCCATGATCTCTCATTTTCCCCACACAAAATAATGCGTAATCGGAACTGAGTACTGCTCACATTATTACCAAAGTCCCAGGTAGTAACCTTTATCGCCTCCAAAATGTCGCCAAACTACCAGTTACCATATTGTAAAGATCAACCGAAATGGTTAGTTTCTAAAACAGTGTCTTGCCTTTCGAGGCCATATTACTAGGTTGCTAGATAAGATTTGTAGTCTTCAGTCTTTCATTATAATTGCTGATAGTTGAATTCCATGCCGGCTAAGTTTTGAACTAACTTTGCATTAAATTGATTTGTGTAGCCTTTGGCTACAAATTTATTTGAATTTAAATTTTACATTTGAACTTAATTGTTATCATAAGTTATCTTAACACAAGTGGTTGACTGAGTCGTAGGCACAAAGTTTGCCTTCTGTTCTGTATATCTAAACTTTATAATAGAATAAGAGTATATCTTAACTTAATAAGAATATATCTAAACTTTATAATAATTACATTTAAAGACATTGAAATCAGTATCTAAGTGCTTGCCGTGTAGTCAAATTTTTATATGTAAATTGTAGTCTTACTTTTATTAGAGTTTTTATTACAAAAAAATTCAGATTTCTGTTAGATTAAATGTTAAAGTAATGTAGAAAATTTGCATAAAATTTAAAATAAAAAGCCGACTATTATGTCAACATACTATTAATAAAAGTAATAATACTCAGTGAAGGTTATTCATATACAGCTATTAGATTGCAAGACTTACAAAATTTGAGAACTGTAAATTATAAGCAATATATTCCTTAATCTAAGCAAACATTATATTTTTATAGTTAGACAATTCTATTCTAAAATGTTATAAAAGCAATAATGAAACCTGATTTTGATCTATGAATTCATTCATGCAATTACACATCCCTATAGTTCTAATTTAAGAAATGAGGCAAAAAGGTATTTTTAGAACCATGGTAATTTGATCACTGCTGCCCATTTTAAGAAAACATCTAAGAAGTCCAAATTTGTATGCAAAGGAAAGGAAAAAACACCAGAGTTTACCTCATGCTACTATTTTTTTTTTTTTTTCTTGGGGGGGGGGGGGAGTTTATAATATGCAGAGTTGACATATGAAAAAATGTCAAGACTCGTATTAAAAGCATCAAGTTTTAACTATCAAATTTTGGCTTTTTTAAAAATATTTTAAATGTTGTGCTTTCCTAACACGAAAGTAACTTTAAGAAAAACATGCAGTTTATCCCTCCTGCCATCGAAGCTCTAATACCTACCAAATTCGTTAAAGTTAGGTGGACAGAAATGGCGGCGTGTTTTTCAGCTCAGTATTTAGGGTTACCATAAATAACAAG